CTGTATCAGCCCTTCCCATACCAACCCACAGAACTCTAGTGAGAATACATAATATATATGTTTGTCTCTTATTTTGGTCGTTTATAAGGCTCAATCACACTTTAAAGACTCAGTGTGTCCTGTAATAGCAATTAAACTGTAATTACATTATTTTCCAAAGTAACTTGCCCATGAAACTCCCCCTGCACTTTTTCCTCTTCCCCTGACACCCTTTAACGTGTATCTCATTGGGTTCTAGTGTTCTAAGGAACTCATTAACTAGATGACTCTGTGGGCTCCTTTCAGCTCCAGATTCAGTTTGGTTCTGCCATAAGGCCCTACTTCTTGCCAAACATGTGCTGTTGCAATGAGAAGGGACATGTCCCCTGCCTCCAAGCTGCTCACAGGCATGGTCTATTCTGGTCCCTGGGATAGAAGAGCAAGTTGTCTAATTAGCTGAGGACATCCCTTTGAAGGGTAAGCAGAACACTCAGAAGCTGAAGATTGCTTATAGTTCATGGGATGATAAATAGCTTGCTCTGCGCCTTAGATGTTTGTGAGTTCACCAGAAATATGTGAATCTATGATGAAATATTAAAGAGAAACTGTCATTGTTTTCCCAAGAATTCCCCTGAGAGAGCTCCGTGCCGGTTCTGGAGAACACCATGATCAAGTGTGCCCATTGGGATAAAACGATGGCCACCAAGGATCATGCAGGGAAGCGTGGGGAGTTTCTGCCAAAGAGGGCACGTCTGAAATTATTTGGCGGGGGAAACTGCGCGGAGAACAGGAAGACGCTTGTTTGGTGATAAAGCAGCTTTAAAGTTGTTCCAGAATATTTTATGAAAACATGTCTCCAATTTGGGACTCTCTCTTCTGGACAAAGGAACTGCAAATCTGCCTGAAGCTTTACCACTAATGGTACCACCCACCAAGTCTCCATATGGCCCCATGACTAAGGACATTTGTCATAACTTTAAAGTGGCCCCTAACTGTGCCATAGGCACAGTAGGACATGATACCAAGCTACTAGAGAGATGGCTTAGGGAAGAGAGAGGAAGAGAAAAAGCAGGCAGAAATGCTGCTTCGTGCTACATGGACAACAGATGGATCACCAATGGCATGAGGAACATTTCTTAAACCACAGCTCACCTCTAACGAGCACGCAGAAAGAGGGGCTCTGTCTGCCCTTCCTCCAATATAGTGTTAACAGAGATGACATTTGATTTGGAAGAGCAGTAAATAAAAGTGAAACAAAAATGCAGGAAGACTGTGGGATGGGAGGAAGGCAACCGATGAGCAATAGGACCACACGGTGATAACACTGAGCACATGTAAATTAGAGAGAATTTCAGTAGAGATGGATTCAATTTCAAGTCCAGGGAAATCAAATGCCCACTCCTGCTACCCCCCATATGTGTGGCAGCAGGCAAGAGAGAACATTGTTCCCTAAAAGGAGAGTGGGATGTTAGAGAAGTGGGAGAGGGAGAAACAGGAGCTATTCTGCGACTGTGTGTTTCTAAACTGGATGACCACAGGTGCTGCAGGGAGCCGTGCTAAGCCTGCCTGGGGAGGGGCACTCGATTTCCTGATTAGCCTTCTCATCTCAGACTTCTGTGAAGCTGGAGAGGTGGGCTGCTTTATGCCACTGCAGCTTTGGCAGGCTGATGTCTTTCAGGGAGAGAATGGGAGGACGGCCAGGAGGCAGCGCCAGCATGACGTTGGGGCCCACCGGGCACTCAGGTCCTAGGGTGCCAGGAGAGCCAAGCAGCTACTGAATCTTAACTTCTCTATGAACCCCTTTCTGACATTACCTCCTTCTGGTCTTTCCCCTCCTTTCTCAACCCATTTTCCAATCTTGTTAGATGTTGGATTTTTCTTTCCTTTTTTATTTCCTTCTCCTCTTCTTGGCCCATTTTCTCACTGTCCCGCTCAGACCCACAGCCAGTCTCACCAGCAACTGTCTTGTCAGCACATTACATAACTTTGTGTCTTTGTCTTTATCCTGTGCTCACTCTGCAGACTTTAACCCCAAGAAAATCCAGCACATGTTTTACTTTTCTGCTTGCATAGCTGATTGATAGAGAAGAACCTAACCATCTCTGTTTCAGCCGAGTCCCCTGGCATCCCTGGCATCGCTTTCCCTCGATACTGCTGTCTCCCTTTTCCTTACAGAGGCCACTTGGCATTATCCTACCCCCTTTCCAAGCCTTTTATACTCCTGCCCTCCCCACCTTAGCTCCCCATCTTAGCAGATGGCCTTGCTTCTATCTGCATACAGAGCAATAGAAAGGGAAACCAGGAAGCTGGATCTTGTTGCATGGAAGATTTTTTCATCAGTGGAGAGCTTTAATGTACTTGGATTTACAAAGGAAGGCTTAGACCAGAAAGGAGAGTAGGGGCTGGGAATAGTTGCCCTAAAATAAAATAAAAAATAGCATTCTGAGGGATAACAAGAAGGAATAGAGAAAAGTTAGGAAGTTGGCCAAAGTTAACTGACACTCAGGTGAAGCCGCCAGTGCAAAATCCCAGTGGGGGAAACTGAAAGGCTTTTAAGACCAAGAGTAGATAAATACCCCTTCTTTCCCTCCCATCAAAAGGTCCTGTAAAGTCTGCCACAAATACAAGTGCTTTGTGTGAATGTGGTTTTATAGAATTTAAGGAAGGAACACTTTTCTACCTGGGGCAATGATGCACAGACATCAGAGCACTATTATTGAGACCCAGAGCAATCTACGAAAACGTGAGCCCTGGGGACTCTGTAGAAATATGGGGACAGCCTTAAAACTTTTTTTTTTTTTTTTGAGACGGAGTTTCACTCTTGTTACCCAGGCTGGAGTGCAATGGCGCGATCTCGGCTCACCGCAACCTCCGCCTCCTGGGTTCAGGCAATTCTCCTGCCTCAGCCTCCTGAGTAGCTGGGATTACAGGCATGCGCCACCGTGCCCAGCTAATTTTTTGTATTTTTAGTAGAGATGGAGTTTCACCATGTTGACCAGAATGGTCTCGATCTGTTGACCTTGTGATCCACCCGCCTCGGCCTCCCAAAGTGCTGGGATTACAGGCTTGAGCCACCGTACCCGGCCCCTTAAAACTTTCACATGTTTGAAATACTGAAGCACTCTTATCTTAAGGGGGAAGAGAGGATCCCTGAAATGGATATCTGGATTAAACAGAAAAAAAAAAAAAATACATGCCTTCAGGTGTAAATTTCTTCAACTTTGCCCCCATTCCACAAACATATCTTCAGCTATACCTACCTTACTTCAATATCACTCATCTCAAAGAGGAGGTAGAGGCAGCGTGATTTGAGAGAAAAAGAACAAACTAGAACAAACAAAGCTGAACAAAGCTGAACAAAAAGAGCAAATGGATTTGGCTTTTGAATCTTAACTCAAACCTGACTAGCTGTGTGGCTTTGAGCAAGTTGCTTAACCTCTCTGAGCTAAGGTCAACTTTCTCATCTATAAAATGAGGAATAAATAAAATCCTCATCGAGTTTTTAGGTTTAAACAACAATGTATATTAACTCCACAGTCCCTCCCTAAAAGAGGTCAAGCAGAAGCTCTACCCCAGCTCTAAGATCCCAGGTCTTCTACCTGCCAAGAACAGGGGCCAGCAGGAAGCCCCAGACACCCATGCCTCTATACCCCAAATGCTCACAGCTCAACACTCAAAAGTTTCTCATCAACGTCTACCTTGAGTCCACTGGATCCAGTCTCATTATGGTATTTGTCGCTGTTTGTTAGTTGCCACAAGAAGCCACTGGTTCCCAGGACACCCTCACTTCCCATCTTTTTATCCCTATATGACTCTGTACAACCCAATTCTATCCCCACATCCCACCCCTCCTGAGCTCCCCAAACCTTCCACTGCATCCTCGTGAATTCATGATCCATCATTAGCAAAAAACCCCCTCTATCTCCAGCCTCTCCTCTGAACATTCACTTTCTTGCTCTAACCAAAACTTGGCTCTCCCCTGAGGACACTGCCTCCAGTAGTGCAGAGGCTGCTTTTCCTCCCACGGCCCTCAGACTTCTGGGCTTGAAGGCAGGATGAGGTCCTCCTTTGCTGCTCACCATAACTAACAGACCATTCTCCCTCTCTCCTCCCAAAATACCCCTGCTTTGAATCATATGTCATCAGACTATATCACCCGCTACCCTTAATTGCAGCTATAACTTGCTGACATTTACCCCACTGTCATTTTCTCCAACATTACTTCTATCTTGGATTTGTGGTTGTTTTAATATGCCACATGAAGAAATTTCACGTGTCATGGCCACTCACTTCACTAAATGTCCCTACGTTGGTGATCTTGTCCTCCCTCCTCTCTCATCACTCTCATGGTAACAACCTGGGCCTTAACATAACACATTACTGGGACTATTCCATGATACTCCCTCCCTGATCTGTCTTATATTTTTAGTTTTCTCTTTCTAGAGCCCCAGATCCAAAAAATCATCTGCCCCACCCCCAGGACCTATAATCCATTGATGCTGCCACCTATTCACTGTCCCCACCCACTTATGGCCTCTCTCCTCTTCTCTCCCAAACCAGCCTAGATCCATAGTCAGTCATTCGTTACTTCCGTGTATGTAGCCTCACTTTCCATGTCCCTCTTGTTTCATTATATTTGCTTGGATAAACTCCAGATTTGATGGTTTCTCATTTTTGCTGCTTTGGCCTGTGAAGTCAGTCCAGCTAGAAGTGGCTGGAAACATACAAAACCATGCTCACATGTCTTGTTGAATTCAACTCTTGACCTCAAGGAGGTCCGTAAAGCTGCCCGACAACCATACTGTATTTCCCTAGTACATTCACCCTCCCACTCTACTAGATGATTATTTCACACCTTCTTCTTTCTCCTCACACATCCAACACCTCTGCCCCCACTCACAGCAGACAACCTTGCTTCTTACTTTCCTGGCAAAATTGGAGCAATCAGAAGAGAACTTCCACAAACTCCCACTCCCTCAAGCCACCCACCTTGCACCATCTGCATGCATATAGTCTGCCTTCCTGCTGTTACTAAAGATGAACCCTATGCTCCTCTTTCAAGCCAGTCTTTCCCTCACGTAATTAAGAACACCTGACTGCGGTAAGCTGGGTGCGTATGTGTCGAGAGAAAGTATGTGTGCTTTATATTTCTTCCTGTTATAAACAAGGCTGTTACGAATAACTTAATGCCTAAATGTGCTGAATTTTGGATTATTTCCTTAGAATGGATTCCCAAAGAGATATAAAGATGAAGGCAAACCATATTTCTATTTTCATGGTAATCTAGTGTGTTCTGGGGGGAGTGGGAATTGGGAATAAGCTATCTCTGGCTCACTGTTGTATATGAGAGGGAAAAATTAACCTTATGAAAGAAAAACTTAAAATAGAGCTAAGCTACAATGAAAACATGAATAACACTTAGGAAATGTGTCTGAGTTTATGTTACAATGCAGTCAATCCAAGTGATAACTTTTATACCTATTCCTTTCCCAAAAAAGTCAATTTTTCATGTTTACAATTTTGTTCAGAAACTAAATAACAAAGCAATGAAAGCTAAAATATTAATTTTTGCTTGTGCTATTGGTGCCAATTCACAGAAAACAATTCTGGAAAGGAGTTTCAGTGATGTGATTTTCTCATCAGTAAGTATTCCCGAAATTGAATTATGAAACCTTAATATCTCAAGAATTGCATAAGCACCTGCAGAATTCCATGAAACCTTTGCTGATATTGGAGGGAGGCGAGTGGGAAGAAAGTCAAATAAATCATTTCTATTGGCCACTTTCTTGCTATATTTGTATAGATTTTGTTACTCATAGTGAGCAGTGTTGGCATTTCCTTATAATTACTTTATTCAAATGTTTCCATTACAAAAGCAATATATCTCCAGGTAAAAGAGATAATTTACCATTTACTTCTTAAAAGAAATTTCTTCTCTCTTCCTACATGCCGTCAAGTCTCAGTGAAGGAATAAAAATACATAAATCCCACAAGGAACAAGACAACATAGAAGCAAACCATAGATAAGATGAAAATTTGGCAAGTATGAAAGAGCTCATTTATGTCAGGTCCAAATACCAGATGGAGGAGTAGTGACTGACTGCAGAGTGGAGTAAGCCCAGCCCACATGCCTACAGCAGAAAGGTAACTTTCCCAATGGGTTCCTGGGAGGACTTAGCATTTGGAAGACCCAGGCACTGCCAAAGATGAGGATGAGGCATAAGACTAAAAATAAATGGCTTGGTTGAAATCTGCATGTAGTTGGAACCTCCCAGATCCCTTTCTCAAAACTATACATTCAAATGACTATCACCTGCAAAAGATCAGAAGTTGATTCTCTAGCGAAATTGAGTAAGGCTTCCTGATGTGGGGAGACCAGGCATTGACAATGGAGAATTTAGCGAAAGTTCACACTTTAAATAATGAACCCATTTTCACACCTTGCTCACACAAGACAGATATATATGCCACCCTACCTCTCAAAATATTGGAGGACTATTCTATTTGGATACTGACTAGCCCCAAAGAAAGGATTTTCATGACACATGTGGGTCTCTCAATGAAGAGCTAACCTCTGCTTAACAATTTGCAAGACTCATCCATGCTTACAAAACTTTGTATCAAATTTTTAATACCTTCTCTCTAAATTGAATGGTCAAAAATCACAGGGTATATGAGGAGAGCCTCTAACATGCAAAAGAGAAACAATAAATGGGAAAAAGGAATCAGAAGAAAAACAGATTATACCAAGAATTATTATAACACTGAGAAGTGAAAAAATACTGCCCTCATGAAACAAGACAGAATGCCATGAAAAAAGAAAAAAGCATTCTATTAGTTAATATATAATAGGCTGTGCTGTAGCAACACTCAATTTTCAATGATTAAGGACAGCTAACGTTTATTTCTCATTTATAGCAAATCCAAAGCAATTAAAAGTTGTTCTCCTTTATCTGGGACTCAGAGATGCAAGCTGTTTTCATTTTAGGACACCACCATTTTTACATGTGGTTTACAAGGACACCAGAGCAGGAGGCAAGAGGAATGGACTCAGGCATATAGTAGCTTTAACTGCCTCAGCCCGAAAGTGACAATATGTCACTTCTTCTCACAGACCACTCACCAGAACTAGTCACATGGCTCCAATCTAACTAAGGCCAGGAAATGTAGAGAAGCACATGGAATGTGTGTTGAGCTTCACCTAACTGTGACAGAAACTATCAGAGAACAAGAAAGAGCTCATGAAAATGAATGACAGCTGAAATTAAAGATTCAGTAGAAAATTTAGAAGATAAACTTGAGAAAACCTATCAGGAGATACAGTTGACCCTTGAACAACACAGGTTTGAACTGAGCAGACCCACTTATAAGCAGATGGAAAATATAGTATTTGAAAAATACAAAAAGTGCTTACACTTTTTCTGTATGCAGATTTCATGAGGCCAACTGTGGGACTTGCATATATGTGAATTTTGGTATACAAGGGGATCCTGGAAACAATCCCATGTGCATCCTGAGGGATGACTACACGTTTTTAAAAAACAGAGAAACTTAAAAAGGTTTATAATCCATCCAATTATTAGGAATTATGAAGATTCCATACAAAGAGAATGGGAAGAAATATTCTATAAATGCCAAAAATTATCCACAAACTAATATATGTAAGTCTCCAAATTAAAAAGGCCCACTAACACAGGCACTCACCCTTTGTGCAAAAGCTATGACGAGGAGTCATGTGACACAACATCCAACAATCAGAGGAACGGTTTAACGGAAGGAAGTGGGATGACCGACAAGTACAGTGCAGAGCCTGTTCAGTGTAGAGTAGGGTGTTGTGCCTTGTGTTTGTCACTTAACATTGTATAATAATTGCAAGCCATGGAACGTCACAGCTATTACATTTAATGGTTACAAATATCCTATAAAATAGACACACCATATTTTACCTAACCCTCCCACCAGTTAGACTTTAATGTTGCTTCTAATCTTTTATCGTTCTAAGTAAGACTGTTGTGACTATCTTACTGAGTAAATTTTAAGTTTTAGATTATTTACTTAGGATGGACACCCTAAAGCTATAAATAATGGGAGCAAATCTTATTTACATTTCCATGATTCTTGGTGGATTTTACACAATTGACTTCCACAATTATTATACCAACTCCTCATGCATGCAGGCATCCATGCACATACTTGCTTAGTCATTGGCATTGTATGTTTTTATTGTAAAATGTTTTGCAAACTTAAGAGTAAGAAATGTGTAATCCCAGCACTTTGGGAGGCCGAGGCGGGTGGATCACGAGGTCAAGAGATTGAGACCATCCTGGTCAACATGGTGAAACACCATCTCTACTAAAAATACAAAAATTTAGCTGGGCATGGTGGCGCGTGCCTGTAATCCCAGCTACTCGGGAGGCTGAGGCAGGAGAATTGTCTGAACCCAGGAGGTGGAGGTTGCAATGAGCCGAGATTGTGGCATTGCACTCCAGCCTGGGTAACAACAGCAAAACTCCGTCTCAAAAAAAAAAAAAAAAAAAAAAAAAAGAAATGGCTTTGTGTACATTTCTGTATATATTTGTCTATAATTTCATTTTGATGAATTATCTGTCTGTAAACATCACTCATTTATCAATTCAGGGCTTAGTGCTTTTCTTGTTACTTTATAGAAATACTCTATATTGATCCATCAGTTACTTATGTGCCTTTTAATAGATCTATCTTTAAAAATCTTTAAATCAATTAATCCTCTATTTTAATGATTACTACTAATCACATATTTCTCTAGAAACTTCCCAATTACTTGTTTCACTGTGATTAAATTTTGTATATGCAAGTCCTCAGTAAAAGATGTTCAGTATCATTTGGTGAGTGCCTCCATTTCAGGCACTGGAAGTACAAGATGAGCAGAAATGGTCCCATAAACCCAGTAGTTTATGGGACTTATCCTTCCTACAAATTGTTAATTAATCCCAGCTCCCTGACTGAGCAGAATGCTTTCGTTTCCCACTGCTGTCTCATGTAAAAAATTCTTATATGTAAATGCATTCTATTTTTAGCTGTTTTCCTCTTTTCTCTTGTGTCAGAACTATAGTTTTAATTATTGTGGTTTGTTTTGACATCTGTAAATTTAAGTTTCTTCCTGTTTTTTCTTATTTGCTGTTTGTTTTTGTTTTTTTATTTTTATTTTTGTAGAGACAGGGTTTCACCACATTGCTCAGGCTGGTCATGAACTCTTGGCCTCAAGCGATCCATACAACTTGGCCTCCCAGAGTGCTGATATCACAGGCATGAGTCACTGCGCCCAGCCAGATGTCCATTTCTTTAAACAAACTTTAAAAACCATTTTTTTAAGACCCCAAATATTGGAATTTTTATGGGATGTGTATTAATGTCAAGTAGGTAGAAAATAGTTGAAGTCCTTACATTATTTGGATCTTTCCAATTCACAATATGGTAGGATTCTCCATTTATAAAGCAGTTTTTTTTTTTTTTAGACAGAGTTTTACTCATGTTGCCCAGGCTGGAGTGCAGTAGTGCAACCTTGGCTCATTGCAACCTCTCCCTCCCAGGGTCAAGTATTTCTCCTGCCTCCGCCTCCCAAGTAGCTGGGGTTACAGGTGCTCACCACCACGCCCAGATAATCTTTGTATTTTTAGTAGAGATGGGGTTTCACCATATTGGTCAGGCTAGTCTCAAACTCCTGACCTCAGATAATCCACCTGCCTCGGCTTCCCAAAGTGCTGGGATTACAGGCATGAGGCACAGTTCCCAGCCTCTAAGTTTATAGTTTAATACCTGTTAAGTATCTGGCAAAGTGTTGCCTGTTTAATAGTGCTTAATATTGTCTTTGTGTTATTGTATACAAGTTCAATGATGAGAGAATGCAAGGCCAACTTATGAACAAAGGAAAATAAAGGCAGGTGTGAGTACTACCTTTATCTTTGTAACTTTTAAGAAACCAATTGAACATCCTTAAGTTTTATACCTTTTCAGTAGTTTTAGACTCTTGCAAAATTACTGGGTTTTGTTTTGTTGTTGGTTTATTTCTTTAGCATTTTTAGTATTCGCACACACCAGGGGTATGCGTGTTTTATGGTATGCAGGGGTGGCAATGTCTGCCAGTGGTATCTTGAGATTCAGAGATAAAATTAACCAACTGAGAAGGGCCGTAGCTTACACTTGTTGATTCTGGTGGAATCCTGAGACCTGTCCACCTATTGCTGAGTAACAAAGCATTTCGTAACCAGGGGATCTAAGTCAATAATCATTTGCTGCTGTTCACATTCTGTTTGTCAACTGGGGTTCAGCAGATCTGGGCTGGGCTCTGCTTCTCATTATGGCTTTACAGATCAGCTGGCAGGGTGAGAGGAGGGAAGGTCTGCTTTAAGCTGCCAGTGGTGAGAGCAGATTTGTACTGCATGAGTCTCAGCCTCTCTACCCTGGGCATGTCCTTCCCATGGCAAATGGTGAAAGTGCAAGACAGCAAATGGAAATACAAAGCAAGAAACAGGACTAAGCCCAAAGCCAAGCCCTACTCACAATGAGGCCATGACAAGGACATGAATGCAGAGAATGGCAAAGAATTGGGGCCAATAATACAACAAACCCATGTAGGGAAGAAGGAACTGGTGCGGAAAGATCCGTAAGACCGAGGGAAGATTGGAATACGAAGTAGTAGAGAAATAAGACAAGCACTCTGTAAATAGTGAAGCCTACAGGAGATCAGTGGGGTTTCTGCTATCATCTAGGCAAGGAGCCTAGGACATGGAAAAGGAATGACAACAAGAACTTCATCAGTTCCTAACTTCTTCCAAGTCTGTGACCGTGTAGTAAAGAACACTACAACCTTTTAAACAAAAGGCTACATGTTTGTTCTTGGGGCCTGCAAGAAAGTAGCTGTGAGAATGAGACTCACTCCATTCAGTCACAGGAAAGGACTTGACACAATTAAAGAAGAGTAAAGCTATGGAGAGTGGCTGATATTAACCTCTTTTCAGATTGCTTCTGTTCTGGGCTGCTGGCCTTTGGTGGCCATTTTGGGGAGGATAAAAATCCCATGCAGCAGTGGAGCTACCCCCTGCTCCATTTCTTTTCCTCCTGGTGATATGTCACTGGAAGGTTTGAGAGAAGTTTAAGGATCTGTGTGAACGTGAGGGAGAAGAGTAGATTCTCGAAGATTTGGTATAATTCAGATTAGAGTTTCCCTCTCTCTGTGCAGAGATTGTGCTCCCTCTCAGTCTTCTCCTAAAGCGGGATGCAGGAGGAACCAGTTGGGAAACAAGCTCTTAAAGGGAAGAGAGATTATACTTTCCAGTTAGGACAGGAGGAAGTTTCTGGTTTCCCTACATTTCTCCACAAAGCTTAAATCTGTTTTTATCCCCAACTGTGAGTCATACTTATTGTTTGTAAGGTATCTATTTTAAACCATTTAAAAACAAGATTTGCATATGAAAGACATTTATGAATTCGTGAACTTGGGGATTTTTAAATAGACCAATTAGATATAGAGTTAATTTCTTAAAATGGTTCGAGTGTCTGCACTTTTGGTGGTAGAGTGAGAATATAAGTAGCTAGTAAATCACTTTAAATTTCTACTATTAAATGGGGCTTTCAAATAATTATGCCAGCTAACAAATTTATACATTCTGGTAGGAGCTCATGAAAGGCATAGGAACTCTTGGGGAAGAGAACTTTGTCATAAGTATATGGTAAATAATGATAACACATCCACCACAGTAGTTGCAATTAGGATTACTATTTGGTTTCATATTTAATAATCCGACATCATTGTTCATAATTAATCTGCTTTGCAGGGACCAAACCGGTGAATTAAAGGGGAATGCAGTGGAGACATTCATGCCTGCATCCTTTGGATCTCATGGCAGTGCTAATCTCTGCCATTCCTATGGGATACAAATTTTTCTTTTAAATCTTGGTGTGGGCAGAGAGGGAGCAGGTGGTGTGAAGTCTCAGGGGTTTCCACTCAATCTACTACAGGACTTCTTACTGTACACATCAGGGAATGAATGTGAGGCTTCCACCAAATGCTAAATATGTCTCTTCTAATTACCAAGCTGGGAAGCAGGAAAATGAGTACAGTATGGAACTGTGACCCATTGGACCCACTGTGAAGTGGATCTGGGCCAAGATTCCATCTGGCGTCTGAACTGCAAACGTGCCTACTCTAGAGTGCTGCATTGGTGCTCTGAGCCCCCCTGGGTATCGGCATCAACCCCAAATATGTATCTAATGGCTCCAGAAAGATCTGGGTAAATGGCCAAAGACGTTTTGGGGGGAAGAGTGGAGAAACAACTACTGTATACACTTGCCATGGTGGTTGCAGCGTCCTTCCTCATAGGCACCTGGCCTCTCCTTCAGTCTGCGTTCTAACCAGAGGACCAAAAACTGATCAGGAGATTATGATCAGTTCCTACAGGAGTGGCTGACTTCAGGCTCCTACCTGACCATTCTTGATCTCTTTTGATTATATATAATAAGCAGTACCCTTTTTAGCTGTCCATTTATTTTGTCCCTAGGAACACCATGTTCTAGCCATCTCCTTTGATATCTACTGATGAGGCCTCTCTGGCTGCCACTCTGAGCCTGCTGCCCATTATGGTTATTACACCCATCTTGCTTCTGACAGTGAAGTGCTGCCACCTGGCTTTTGTTTTCCCAGCCTCCTATCATCCCCGTTGTTATTAGAGACCCAATTCTGTAACCACATGCCCGGCCACCAGAACCAGCTTACAAAAGACAGCTACTGCTGAGGTTTTCAATGATGCTAAAGCCCCCTCACCAGTGCATTTCTTTCTAAACGATTGCCCTGTGGGTTCTCTTAAGGATTTGATCATCTAGTGGTTTTGTTGTCTTACTTAGCAGATGTAATCCAGCATACCCACTTCTCTGAAATTTCCAATACTGTCTCCATCATTTGTCAAAAAATTCCTGCATTTTTACTTTGCGTCATTGCTGTTTTTCAATCTTCTAGAATCTTTTCTAGCATCAATTTGAGTCACCTCCTAAGTCCTTGCTATGGAATTAGCTTCTGGCTGTGGTTGAGTGCCTCAAATCCCCAAGCTTTCCCTTAACAAACATATTCTGTTCCCTGTGGTTAGGCACTCCTAGGGTCCTCTCTCGGACATACTCTCCAGCTTCTGCTTAAGTTTTCTCTAGGTTTGGAGGTCCCTTAACATATAATATCATCTCCCTTTCAGAAGGCCCAGCACTTTTCTGATTGAGCTGAGATTTGATGCTAGGTATGCACCAGGTGGCTAAGAGGGGAAGTGGGGTCATATCCTGAAGAGGACCCTTCACTGTCTTGTAAGGCCTTATTTGAAGTCTCCTTACAGTCTTCAAGGAAGGTGGGGAATGAGGAAAAATCTGCAACAATGGAGAATAGGTCACTTCTTCAGGAACAGA